AAAGATATTGTGTCCGCCGATAGCTAAAAAATAAATATTAAAAAATTCTCCCTCTCTCTCTCTCTCTCTCTCTCTCTCTCTCTCTCTCTCTCTCTTTAAAAAAAAAAAGAATGAGATTATAATTTATTTCAAAAATAGGAAAGCAAATAGCCAGAATATATCTGATGATGGAAACACCTAAATCTGGAGAAACTATTTAGTCTTATTTTTATTTTTAAACTTGTTAGAACAACCAATATAACATTACCACATGAAATACAGATCTTTGACACGAGATCTTTTTTTTAATGTCAGTTTTTGCTTAATTTCCTTTAGTCGCTCCTCCCTTTGTGCCTTCAAATATGTTAAATATCCACTATGTGCCAGACATACTGGAAGAGATGCTGTATCTCACATTCTAGAAGGAAAGAGTCAGAGATAAACAGCACGATAAATGCCAAGACGGATGCAATCTCAGGGTGCCATGGCAACTTGAAAAAATACCCAAGTTAGTCTCAGGAGACAGGAAAGCATGCTGGAGAAGACATTTAAGTGGAATCCTGAGTCTCTGAAAGTGGTCAGCAAAGAAACAGTAGGACTGACAAACCATATTGGCTCTGTGAATAAAAGGCACATTTGGGCAGCTATACGATGTGCCTGTAAAGATGACAACCTGTTTTGACTATCATTGCATTAAAATGCTTTCCAAGGTTTTTGCTTCTGTGCCATCATGCCCCCTACCTTACCCTACCCCCTTGAGAGATTTACAGCCTGGAGCATATTGATGATTTTCAGGACTAAAAAGGAAACCATTAACCCACATATGACTATTGTTTCTGTGGGATATTTGCATTTCTAAGTGATGAGGTTTTATTAAATCTGAGTTTCAGACAAAGAGACTTTGTTTATTCATTCATACATATGTAAAACCTTTTAAATTTTTCTCTTTTCAGAATATTCTTCTCCTTTTTCCATTACAGATGAGGTCTTTTTTCTCAGAGCTTGATCACTGTAAATTTGTACAGTGTTGCAGCTTCTGCATATGATCCTATTTGATATTCACAAGAGTTCAAGGGCTTAATCTTTGTTCTGTGTTTTTATACTAGTAATTTCAGTGCCTGGTATGCTTTCTGAGTAATTTTTGAGGGTTCCATTTAGTTCCAACTCCCACTAAACCTTTACCGGTATGCCATAAACTTCATTTCCTAGATTTCTAAGCCCCTTTTTGTTGTTGTTCTAATTAGTTGACAATAGAATGCATTTTGACATATCATACATAAGTGGATTATAACTTCTTATTCTTCTAGTTATACATGATGTAGAGTTACAACTGTAGTATAATCATAAGAGAACATACTAAACACTCTTCTTGTTTGCACTTTCTACTGTCTTGTTGCTATTTCTGTGCTAGTCATGGCCACCCCCATAATTTTAGGATTCTCTAAGATTTGAATCCAAGGTGTTTGTTCCATTATGTTTCTCTTCTGATACTTAGTATGTTGCTAAGTAAGTTAAAATATTCATTAAGTTGAAGAGCCCATAATTGTTTGGTTCCTATCAAGTAAATAAAAGTCTTATTAATTTTAGTTTCAACAGGAAAGGCCATAAATAAAAATATCTTTTGGTTATATGGTATCTTGTATCACCAAATTTTCATTTCTCAGCTCTGTAACTACTATAAAGAAGTTAGAGGTAACGTCCCCTTATGAACTATAAAGAAAATGGAAAATGAGTCTGATTTGAGCAGAATTGCTGCTGACAAATTTTAATGGTTCATAATTGCATATATATTTTAAGTTTTAATATCTTCATTTAATTGCCTCAAGTATAAACTGATATTAAACTTTGAAGTAATGTCACTAATCACAGTGACTAGTATTCTTGGCTCTTGTTTTAGAGCTGTTAATATTTCATTGTTCATATTAGTTTTTAATTACAGGAAGGAATAATTAGATGAGTGTAGTACAGTATCGCATGGTTATAACAACTCCTCATTTTCTTCTCCTGAATAATAATTATTTCCTGGAATAGGAGCTTGCATAGTTTATTCTTGCTTCTTATTGCCTATTATATTTTTTCTATTAAAAATGTTTTCAGGTCCTTTGGGTATAGTCTGAGAAGAGGTATAGTAGGTCAAAACTAAAACCAGCATACTACAGGGACACAGCCACATCAATGTTTATAGTTACAACTCACAATAGCTAAACTGGAGCCAACCTAGATGTCCTTCAGTGAATGAATGGATATAAAAAAAAATGTGACATTTATACACAATGGAATATTACTCTGCACTAAAAAGAATAAGATCATGGCATTTGCAGGGAAATGGATGGCATTAGAGAAGATTATGCTAAGTGAAGTTAACCAATCCCCCCCCAAAAAAATGCCGAATGTCTTCTCTGATATAAGAGGGAGGGCGGTGACTCAAAATGGAGTTGAGAGAGAGAGCAAGGGAGGAAGATTACCTCTAGATAGGGAATAGGGGTGGGAGGGAATGTGATGGAGAAGGGGAATAGCAGGGATGGTAAAAGGAGACCCTCATCATTTTACAAAATACATGTTTGAAGATGTGAATTTGGTGTCAATATACTTTATATAGAGAGATATGATAAATTATTGTATAATGGTGTATTAAGAATTTAAAAATAATCCAAAAATAAATAATAAATGAATGAATAAAAAGTAAAAAATAAATATTTTTTAAAAAGACATGTTTTCAGAACCTTTTCTAGATGATGATTTCGATGACTTTGGGGGAATGAGAACATTCATTTGCTCATAGAGTTTGTTGTTGGAATTTGTTTTGATTGTACAGTTTTTCATATAATCTGTTCTTGGTGGGGATTTAGGAGATTTTAAAGTTCTCTTCAGTAGATTTGATGTATTTTGCTTGGTGGTTGTACCTCTTGCTGTGTCTTCAGTTTGAGAATCTGAAGGTGGTCAACAAATAAACAGTAGGAGGATTACTGGCCTGCTGTTCTTCTCAATGGACTGTGATACCATCAGAAGGAAAGGGGAAGAGGAGACTTGGAAGCAGTACCTGTTAGGGGCAGAGGGATATGAGATGCAAAGCTGCTAGGGAGTTGTGAGGAAATTTCACATACATTGGTGTAGAAAAACCCCAAGGCACCAGACTGGATCATGAGGCCAACACAGGATGGACAGTGACAAAAAAGAAAGGGAATTTACTTTTATTATTTATTTATGTATTTTATTTTATTTTTTTTTTATGGTACTGGGGATTGAATCAGACCAACCTACATGCTAGATGAGTATTGTACCACTAAACTACACCCCCAACCCTTTAAAAATATTTGTTCTGAGATAAATAGCTAAATTGCCCATGCTGGCCCTGAATTTGTAACCCTCCTGCCTGAGCCTCCTGAGTAGTTGGGATTATAGGCTTGCTATCACACCCAATGGGATTTCTCTTTTTCTTTTTAAAGCACTCAAGACTAAAGGAATGCACAACTCTGTGAGATAAGAGTATCTCAGTCTTAGGCACAGTAGCATACATCTGTAATCCAAGCAGTTTAGGAGGCTGAGGCAGGAGGATTGCAAGTTCAAGGCCAGCCTCAGCAATTTAGCAAGGCCCTAAACAACTTAGTGAGACTCTGTTTCAAAAAAAATAAAAAAGGCTGGGGATGTGGTTCAGGTATTAAGCACCCCTGGGTTTAATCCCTGGTCCCCTCCCCAAAATAAAGAAAAAAAATGGATATCTCAGTCTTTATAAGTAAAAATTAAAGATCAGAGAATTTAGGTAATCTATCACAGTTGTTGAGCTAGTTGATCTAGAATTTGGACCAAGTATTGCTGATTCCTTAAGTATGTACTTTCCTCTTAAAGTAGTGACTTTATAAATACATGTGAAACCACAGAGAGGAAGAATAAGTCACAGAAAAGCAAATGAGTTTCACAAACTAATGCACTTCGGGATAGTTGAAACAAACGGCTTCAAAAATCTAGGCACATTGGGCTGGGGATGTGGCTCAAGCAGTAGCGCACTCGTCTGGCATGCGTGCGGCCCGGGTTCGATCCTCAGCACCACTTACAAAGATGTTGTGTCTGCCAAAAACCAAAAAATAAATATTAAAATTCTCTCTCTCTCTCTCTCTTAAAAAAAAAAAATCTAGGCACATGACCTTGTAATGAGAACCCCAAGGAATGGTCTTGTTGTTTGTATGTCCTGTTAGATAGGTGGATACAGTATATGTTATTTAATGTGAACTTGTAGAATAATTTTTACCAATAAATACAAATTAGAGGAGTAGTATATTTATTCTACTTGCATGTCATTTTAGTTACTTAAATTTCTCAATATAGGCCCAAACTGAACTTCCCTAATTTGCTTTGACATTTATTAAGAAGTATGTTCAGACATGTTTGGATTTCAACGAGACTGCTTTATAATTAAATGGAAGATGACTTTGGCTATTCCATTTACCCCAAACACAATTACTCTCCTGTTTCCTCCCAGTGGTGGTGGTAGTGGTAGTGATGGTGGTGTGTTTGGAGAAACTAATAAGTGCAAGTAAATGGACAGAAAGTCAGGTTTCGAGTGTCAACTGGGTTTCTGGGGTTTTCTTTTGTGTTTTCCCTTTCTTCTTCCTTTCCAGTCAACCCTAGATATTGCCAGTCTTTTTTGTTTTTGTCAATCTGTAATGTTAAGAAGTTCCCATTGTTTTTATTTGCAGTTCAGGTAACAATTTAATGGAAAATCTCTCTCCCACTTCAGACATCGATTCAGATTCATTGCATTGTCTTTCGTGGATATAGTAATAGCTCTGCTGGAAAAGAACTGCCTGAAGTACTGTAGATATATATCCTATTCAAAGAACAGTTGAACAGTTTATCTTTAATGTGTATATGTATTTTTTCCTTTTGCCTAGTTGCTGATCATCTGGGCTGTGATCCTCAAACAAGATTCTTTGTTCCTCCTAATATCAAGCAGTGGATTGCCTTGCTACAAAGGGGAAATTGCACATTTAAAGAGAAAATATCACGGGCTGCTTTTCACAATGCAGTTGCTGTAGTCATCTACAATAATAAATCCAAAGAGGAGCCAGTCACCATGACTCATCCAGGTAAACAAAAAAAGGGGGATTCTAGATTTGTTTTTCTTTTAGAAATTATTTCTTGCGACATTGTACCTCTAGTGAAATCATATAATTTTGAACAAAATTCTCTGGTTTTATTCACTTCCAGCATTGCCATTTATTTGTGGAGATGCATGTCTTTTTCCTTTAGTTCAAAAATAGTTTCCTTTATTTTTTTCTTAAATAATGATAGTAGCAATTGTAAAACTTGAATTTATTTAAATAAGTGACTATGATTGAATCCTTAGTACTTTTTGCTTGATAACTTTGAAAGATAATGTATTTGATTTGGAATCATTCACTTAGGTTATATCATGGATTCTTAAGAATTATCAATGTGAGAAGCATTCTTTTTATCTCATCAAGATAAATGTTGACAATGACTTAGTGATTAATATAATTATAGTAGTAACAATATGTCATCCATTTCTGTGGAAGCACTTAGGATATTTCCTATGTAACTGTTTTCATGATAGCAATTTATTGAGCACTTACTATATAATATGCCAGCACTATTGCTGTGAGCTTTTTAAATAGGTTTCTTAGATAACCATGTATCTAAGATAGTCACAGTAACCCAGTATGATATAGGGTTTTCCCCATTTTACAGATTAGAAGATTAAAGCAATTAGGGCCATCAGAAGAGAGCTCAGACCCAAGTTTGCTGTGTTCATTCAATTTCACCAGCCTGTCTCTTTAAATTAAAAACCAAAGTTTAGTTTTACATTCATAAAAATTTTAGAATATAATGTCTTATTGAAGGAATTAACTTTTCATCTTATAATTGATTTTCACATAACCTATTTTAGACAGTGTTCTTGTAGAGACTTGCTCATCTTAATTGAGAGTCATTGATACTTTGTGCATCTTTTTTTTTTTCTTCTTTCCTTCTCTTTTTGGTACTGAGAACTGAATTCAGGGGCACTCTGCCACTGACCTACATCCCCAGCCTTTTTTATTTTGTATTTTGAGATAAAATCTCACTAATTTGTCAAGGCTTGTCTTAAACTTATGAACCTCCTGCCTCAGCTTCCCTAGTAGCAGGCATGCACCAGTGTAGCTGGCTTCTTTTGTGCATATATTGATAGAATAATATAGATGGATTTAATTCATTGTTCTGTGATTTATTGATTTGAAATTAATTCTTTTAAAACTCTAATATGTTTTTTCTCATTGCAAAAGTAGATGCTTATTATAGAAAAACTAAAATCAAAAAGCACAAAGAATAAAATAAAATGTGTGTGTTTGAATTCCCCACAGATCACTAGAGTCCTATAACTAATTCTTTTTTTTTTTTTTTAAGTTGTAGATGGACACAATACCTTTATTTTATTTATTTAGTTTTTTTAATGTGGTGCTGGGGATCGAACCCAGTACCTCACCCATGCTAGGCAAGTGCTCTACCACTGAGCCCCTATAACTAATTCTTTAGGTAAACCAGAAGGAAGTAAAGGAGCAGTCAAGTGGGGCTGGATCTCTGTGTGGAAACACTAGATTCAAGACAGTAGTTTTTCTGCTTATGTCTCATTGTAGGTGTGCATTTGCTTTTCACCATTGCCCTATAGGGAAGAAAAAATATTTGAAATTTTGGCCTTCACCTAGCTTATCTTCGTTCCTCGCTGATTTCTTCTTTACTGAAAACAGAAAGCAGAACGGACAGGGAGAAATTCAACTGGGCAAAAAATATTTCCCAGTGGTGTTATTTTGTATTTTTTATTTTTTTTCTGTGGTGGGGATTGAACCCAACCTTGTACCCAATGATATTATTTTACATGCACAAAAAACAGAGAAGTAACTAGAATGAAAGTATTTTAATATAAATATGGGAAGATTGGGGATTATAAGAGAAGGAATTTAAATAGTCAAAAATATTTTTCTTTAATTATTTTTGTTTGCCAGGCATGGTGGCACACACCTGTAATCCTAACAGTTTGGGAGGCAGAGGCAGGAGGCTCACAAGTTTGAGGCCAGCCTCAGAAACTTAGAAAGGCTCTAGTCAACTTAGTGAGATCCTGTCTTAAAATAAAAATAAAAAAGGCTGAGGATGTGGCTAGTGGTTAAGGTCCCTTGAGTTCAATCCCTGGTACCCCCCCTCCAATTGTTTTTGTTTAAAAAGGGAAGGAAGTCTCATCAATTAATACAGATATACTGTATTCAGATATGTTCATAGGTGACCCATGAAAGAAAAAAGGATAAATGGTAAAAGTAAATTTTGGAAAGTGCTTGAAGTATATATTATTTGTAGGAGTTCCTAGTACTCACTAACATATTGAGGTCTCTGAGAACTCTTAAAGGAAAGAATCAATTTTATTTTAGTAACTTAATTTTTCCAAAACTTACTATGCCATATAACTTTTTTTTAAGTTGTTGATAGATCTTTATTTTATTTATTTATTTGTGGTGCTGAGAATTGAACCTAGTACTTCACAAATGCCAGGCAAGTGCCCTACCACTGAGCCCCAGCCCAGCCATGTAACTCTTATAACAGATTGGTATATAACAACAACAAATTCAGGGGTAGAATATGAGAATAATATTCTTAGAATCTGTAAGACAAACAGAATGTAGGTGTACATAAGAGCATTAAAAAATAACTGCATTGGGAGACTGAGGGAGGAGGGTCACAAGTTTAAGGTCAGCCTCAGCAACTTAGCAAGGCCTAAAGGAACTTGGTGAAACCCTGTCTCAAAAAGGACTAGTGATGTAGCTCAGTGGTAAAGCACCTCCAGATTCAATTCTGTCATAAAATCTGTTTTGTTTTGTTTAAATCTTGTAGTGCTTTACCACTGAGCTATCCCCAGCCCTTTTATTTTTTATTTTGAGACAAGTTCTCCCTGAATTACAGAGGTTAGTCTCAAACTTGTAATCTTCTGGCTCAGCTGGGATTATAGATGTGTACCATTGCACCCAGCATGGGCATAGCTTTTTCATAGGGCCAATATTCACAATATACAAAGAGCTCTTAGCTGGACTCAGTGGTACATACCTGTAATCCTAGCTTATTATCTCCTGTTTTACAAGAAAAACAGGATAAATTCTTGATCTCTGTTGAACATCACTGGAATATTTTCTCTAATTTGTAGATCTCTATTTCAGTAGCTGTCCCAGGGTTCTGTTTGTGTTTTTAAAAATATTTTGAGTTATAGATGAATACAATACCTTTATTTTAATTATTTATTTTTATGTGGTGCTAAGGATTGAACCGAGTGCCTACACATGCTAGGCAAACACTCTATGTCAGTGAGCTACAATTCCAGCCCCCCAGGCTCCTGTTGTGGTTCATCTTTCAAAGTCATTTTTAAGAGTTTATCAAAAATTTTTATTGTCATGACAATCACAATTATTTTTTATAGGGATGAAATTGTTCCTGCCAGATAATATACCACCTCTGAAACAGTGAAAAGAATTTGCCATTTACAATCCTAAGATTGGGATTTGAATCCTATACCCATTTGATTACTAGCCGTATGAGTTTGGGTAAATAAGTCTTTAAACTAGTGTCCTCATTTGTAAAACAGAGCATCTATTTGCCCTATTTACCTATGAGAATGGTTATGAAATTTATTTATTATTATTTTTTAAATGTATTTTTTAGTTGTAGTTTGACACAATACTTTTATTTCACTTATTTATTTTTATGTGGTGCTAAGGATCGAACCAGGGTCGTGCACATGCGAGGCGAGCGCTCTACCACTGAGCCACAACCCCAGCCCCATGAAATTTATTGAGATAACAAATTTTTAAAATTATACAGTCATTATTTATTATTCTTGTGCCTGACGACCAGTACCTCTTATAAAATTAAGAAATCAATGTGCATGTTCCTTTAATTTTGAGACTGGTACTTTTTTTATTTCTAAATACACTTTTTTTATTCATTCTTCTGATATTTTTCCTACATTATCTCTATTTTAAATGTACTTAGTACAAAAAAATAGTTAACCAATGGCTATTAAGTCATATTTGCTATATATCAAACATATATGCAAATGAGTGTCCTCAAGGAACACTTCACTCCATCAGGGAGACAGATGTATGTGAAATGATTGGAGATACTTAATGGAATACCACGAAAGGGCCCTGACTATTAAGTCTGGGAGGGACTTATCAGAAGACTTCATAGAGGAGGCATTGGCCTGGGCCCTAAATAATTAGGATAATTTAGGATTTGACCAGAAAGAATAAAACATAGAAAATAAACACAAGAAGAAATTATGATTGTGAGAAGTCTTATGAAGAAAAGACATCTGTTGCCTTGAGGAATTTTGAAACTATTGTTCGATGTATGATATGTCAAGAGCTTTGTAATGTTGTGAACAACCAATAAAAAAAAAAAAAGGAATTGACATTTGAATAGGAAGATCGGTTGTTAGAGCAAAGTATTTTAAGTGGAAGGATCCTAATGAGTAAAGTATCTGAGTGTGTGGGGGGGGGCACAAAGCAAAAGTGATTTTAAGTGCAGCATGGCGGGGGAGGGGCAGTATGGCTGAACAGAGAGACATGTACAAGGTAATAGCAAATTAAATTTAAAGCCTTATCTTCAAAGTAGAAGTATGCCTAAAGGCAAGGACTATTATTTAATAGTACATTGAAAATTTTTAAAGAAAAGAGATATAGCTCTTTGGGTCAGTGAGGTTGGTACTAACTTGGTACTCTGGCCTGTGAGGTATACTAACTTGGTACTCTGGTTGGTACTAACTCAGTACAGTGAGGTATACTAACTTGGTACTCTGGCCTCTACAGGTGTGAAACCTCATACCTGCAACAATTAGGCAGCTAAGCAGCTCCATTGAGGTGGTTCTGTCTTCTTCTCTACCATCTAATAATTGGGTGCTTAGAAAACCTAGCACGAAGCCCTGGGTAGAGTTATTGTGGCAAAATAAATCCCACTAAGCACAGTTCCTCATAGGTGAAGTGCTGTGAGGAAGAGTGGAAATGTGAAAGACTCAGGAGATGAGTCCTGTCTTGATACCATTTTAAATGAAGTT